AAACCAAAGAATTTATACACATGTATGCATAAGCAATGGACATAGACAATAATGCCATGGTTGGGGGGATCAGGAGGAGGGTGTCAATGGGGGGAAAAGGAGAAACATCTATAACAAAAATAAATTAATTAATAATAAAAAATTAAAAATAAAAAATAAAACAAAAACGTGATCAAAGAAGCCATTGAATTCTAGGTGTCTGTAAAAATTAAGATGCTCATGGCTATGAGTACCAAAAACATGTCTCAATATCAGCCATCAAGTGAGCCATCTTGGGTACCTAGCCCAGTTAAGCCTTCAGATCATTAAATTCCCACCTTAAATCTGCAACCACATGAGAAACTCCAATAGAGAACTGCCAACTAAACTTACCCCAGTTCATGACTTGAAAATTATAAGCAGAATAAAATTGTTGTTGGTAGCCAGTATATTATATTGTGTTACATAGCAATAGTAACTTAACTGGGAGAAGTATCCAGATTACATGAAGAGTTTCTGTGAAGCATCAAAAAGGAGAAACCTCTCAACTAAGAAATGGGGGGGGGGGGCATTATTAAGAATTTAAAACAAAAGAAATTAGAAATCAAAAGCACAATGAAATAACAATTGACGTCCCTCTGAATTGTCAACATTTAAGCCACATAATATGAAATGTTGGTGGAAATTGATGGAGATATAAATTGGTACAGCAACCTCGAAAACAATTTGGAAACATCTCTTAAAACTGAAGATGGTCTTTGACGCAATGCCATTGCTAGATACATACCGTAGTGAAACTTTCCAAGAATATTTGGAGCAGCATTGTTTGTGATAGCTAAAAACAGGAAGCAACTTAAATATCTGTCAAAAGAAAAATTGATCAATAAATTTTGGTAGACATACTCCCATAGTGAGATACTATACAGAAGTGAAAAGTGATAAAACAGATTTGCATGTTTGAAAATGGTGATCCCACAAATATCATTACTTATCACACAAATTAATATGGAAAACATGACACCATTTATATAGTTTAAAGTATGAGAACACAATATTACCAACTGTTTAAGGATTATTTATTTGCAGTGGAATCACAATAAATGCACATGCAGAACAATGCTTTCCTCTGTGGGGCAGAGAGAGGAAGACAATGGGAAAGAGTGTGCAAAGGGATTAACTTCGTTGGCAGTGTTTTATGTCCTAGGTACTACTATTAAAGTATTGGTTTCACTTTTCTTTATACCCTGTGTGTTAAGTAGTGCAGAATGTATTTTTTAAAATATTTTTATTTATTGATTTTAGAGAGAAAGGAAGGGAGAGGGAGAGAGAGATAGAAACACCGATGAGCGAGAATATCGATTGGCCGCCTCCTGCATGTCCCCCACTGGGGACTGGGCCCACAACCAGGGCATGTGTCTTGACCAGGAATCGAACCAGTGACCTCCTGGTGCATGGGTTGATGCTAAACCACCGAACCACACCAGCTGGGCCAGAATGTATTTTTTAAAGTATATAATCACCAGAAACTCTTGTAAAAAATTCCCAGGTTTGCTGGTTCGATTCCCAGTCAGGGCACATGCCCAGGTTGTGGGCCCAATTGGGGGGCATGCAGGAGGCAGCCAATCCATGTTCTCTCTCATCAACTTTTCTCTCTCTCCCTCCCCTTTCCTCTCTCTCTAAAATAAATAGATAAACAAATACATACATACATACATACATAAAAGAGTAAAAAAAAAATTCCCAGGTTTGTCTCAGATTCAGCAGATCAAACTCTCCAGAAGTGGGGCCCAGGAATCTGCCCCCTGGTTGACCCTGACACTACTGCTCTAAGCCAGGGGAAGGCCACCCCAGGGGAGGCGGCCTCATTCACTCTCTATTATACTTTCCACTTTATAAGTGACAGTTATCCATCAGTCCCCCGAGTTTAGTGTCTTTGTGCTAACTACCATGCAAGGTGATGGGGACATAAAAGCAAATAAGACATTTTTACTGGCTTTGAGGATCTTCTATTTAAGCATTTAGTGGAGGAGCCCATAAACCAGGATAAAGTTTAATTTCAACTACAAAGGATCCAAAAACTGAACATATTAAAACTATCACCTCAACCCTGGTGTCTCCAAATCCTTCTTTCCAGGCATCCAGGACATCCACATAACTGCTTCACTACACCTGGCTGGTACCTCTACATTGCTCTTTCCAGAAAAATTTCCAATGCTTTCTTTGCCTTGAACACCTCTCCTTGAGGTCTCATAACTTTGCCATTTACTCCCTGTGCGACTTTAGGCTGGTCATGTCCCTTCTCTTAGCCTCACTTTCTGCTTCTGTAAGTTGAGTGGAAGGTCAAGCCCTCAGAGTGGCAAAACTCAGACCAGGATGAGGTCCTGCAGATCACCATGCTATTTCATTGCTTTTCTAAGATCACAAAAACCTGATTTAGAAATTGGCAACCAAGTGTTTCATGAGAGATGGATGCTGAGTAACCTCTGAGATGTTTTTAAGGAAAAAGACACACATGGTAGACTTTCAAAGATTCTGACAACACCCCTTTTCATATGCCATGGAAAGTGAATCATTACTTTTGGAGTAAGACACTTTAAGACAATTTTGCCACTTTTCTACATTACTGAGCAGAAGGAAACCTACAAATCTGAAGTTGAGCCAATTTCCTCCCTTGTAAATGTGACAGGGATTGTGAGTGGACAGAAATAACGGAAGGGAGTTGTAATGTGGGTAAAGCTGTCAAGGGGGAAAATATCTAGTCAGTGGGCTTTGGGGAACAATTTAGGATCTGATATCAGCTCTACCAGCAATAAGGTGCATAACATTGAACATGTGCCTTAACCTTTCTGAGCCTCATGGGTTGAATAATGATAATGTTGATATTTACTTTCCAGGGTTCTGGTGAGAGGTAATGAAATAACTCCTATGAAGATTTGTAGGAAGTTTGTCCCGGGAAAAGCCCCTAAGGTACATTGTCACTAGGCCCCTTCCTGTCAACTACCAGGTAGACAAGCAGAATACACCATCCCATGTGGGGTTGAAGGACATCTAGACAGTTCTGTGCCACACTCATTACAAGGTGGCTACCTAGACCTGGCTAGCTGGATGGACAGAAACCACAAGCCCCTCCTTGTGTGGCTGGGGGAGAGGCCTGCCAACTGGATGCCAGGATGTGGTTGGCATAGCAGCCAGGAGCACACAGACCACTGGGCCATCAGACTGTAGGGCAGTTACTCCTTTTTCCCATGCCCCATGGGACCCACTGATACTGCAAAACCCACAGCCCACCACTCACGGGGACAGGCAAGCCCAAGGGCTTAGGCTCCAAATGGAGAAGGCAGTTTATCCAGACAACGGATTTACATACCCTGAGGAATCAAAGCCAAACTACAGTAGTGTCTAGTGAAGGCCCAGTTCAGAAACTTCCAGGTCACATGCAGAGATGGAAGGTGTCCTAGAGCAGCAGCAATCTTTGCAACAAAGGTAGCAGCCAGCACAGTAAGACTCACAGTGGGAGCAGCCAAGCTACTCAGGACCTAGGAGGCTGTAAACATGGCCATTAGGATGTCCTGAAGAAGTCTCTTAAGGGTGCTGGGAATAATTCCTTTTCTGGACCCCCCAACTCTGCCCCCAGCCCCAGAAGATCCTTCTCTCAATTGCCCACAGCAGAGATGAATCTCTGATGAATCATTCAATGATATTTATTGAAGAGAAACATTTTCTGAATCCACAGAACAAAGGGAATGACAACACAGAGGAGCTTCTGGAGGCCACTACAGCCCATAGGTCACACTACCCCCTCCTCCAGGGGTCCCTGACGAGGGGCCTCAGCTGTCCCTCACACTGTGGTCCTCCCACCATAGTCCCCCTCCCTGAGAGCCCCACGATCGGCTTTGCAGGACTAAGGACACCGGCGATGTCCACTCACTGCAGGGCTCCCCTCCCCCTCTGAACAACATGCTGGGGCCTGGCCCTGCCCTGCGGCCTGCACAGGACAGACAGACACTGGAAAACACAGCAGAGGTCACTCCAAGCCAAGGACAGTGAGTCACAAGGAACAACAGGGGGCACATCAGAGCACTGTCCCCGTGCAGCCTCCAGCAGCCGCCTTCTGTCCTGGTCCAGTTCTTCCTTCTTGGGGTCACTGGGTGAGAGCTGGCTGCGCCCTCGTCTGTCCTTCCCGCCATCTCCTGAAACTGGGCTGGGGTATCCGTGGTGGGGAACTGCTCAGAGAACACACACATCTCCACAAGAACAAGCAGCAGTTGGCCTAAATCTACACCGAGAAAGCAGAGGTTGAGCTCACGGCTCTGGACGAGAGCTGGCAGAGCCTTGGCTGTCTGTGCAGCTCACAGCACCTGCCGGGGCTGAGAGGCGGCTGCCCCGGTAGGTAGGTCAGGACACCCACGGGGTTCACACACACCTGGCCGTTCTGCACAAGGACCACGGCTAGTGTGTGTGTGTGTGTGTGTGTGTGTGTGTTGGGGGGGGTGGGATGCATGTGATTACTTGATACGTGGGTCACCATGGGGCCTACAGAGAAGCAGGGTAGGGCCCTCCCAGTACAAGGAGCATCCTGCTCTGGAGGATGGAGAATGGGGGTTCCCATGACTGACACCCCTGTGATGGGCCCTAACATCTCCCAGTTCCATGCGGGTGGGAGATGTCTTCAGGTGCCCCTCTCCTAGCCTGGGATGGGCTGCTCAGGGGTGCTCCCAGGACAGCTGCCCAAGGTGGTCAGGGTTTGGGGCTGGGGCCAGGTCTGGTGCTACCACATGGGGGCACCTCTTACCATCCCATTTGGTGTCAAACGTGGTCATCTTGGTCACTTGGAAAGGCTGATGGTGGTGGCCAGGGCTCCTTAGGGGTGGTGGGGGTCTCGGGAGATTGGTTTGGGCCGACTGGGCCCTTCCCTGGGCTCTGCTCCCAGTGTGGGGTGAGGAAGTTGCCCTGGCCCAACCTCCCCCTGCCTCCAAGGCTCTGCTGCCCAAGAGGAGAGGAGGATGCTGGGCCTTGAGAGCCTATTTGCCTGGGGAGGACTTGGGGGAGCTTATCTCCCCAACCCCATCCTCATTTTCCGACTCCTCCGGGATGGGTTTGAGCCCCTCCTGGGGGTTGTCCTCGGCCTCCTTGTCTCCTGCCTGGGCCAGGCCCTCTGGCTCACCACCAGGACCTCCTGCACCTGCCCCGGAAGCACTGCCCATTTGGGCAGGTGTGGGGCTCCCAGGGGGCTCTGAAGGCCCTGCCTGACCTAGGCCTACAGGGGTAGGGTCATGGTTGTCACCATCCTCCTGCTCCTCATCCTGCTCCTGCTCTTCCTTCTCCTCCCCCTTGTCATCCTCGGCCTTAGGTTTGGCTCTGGCATCAGCCTGGGCATTGGCCTGGACAGCGGCCTGGACAGCAGCCCCTTCTTCTGGCTGGGCTCTCTCGCTCCTGGCTAGACTGGCCTCCCATGCTTCAGACTCCCGAACCAGCCCCAGCATCTCCAGGAAACTTGGACACCTCCCAACCATTCTCAGCGTCCTCAGGGCTTCATCCAGTGGCTCAGTAAGGTTGGCCCTAGTGAGCACCTGCCTTAGGCGCAAGTGGTAGGCTGAGGTTCGAGCCAGGGCCCCCTTCTCAATGGCTTTCTGTAGCAAGACTTCCAGTCGCAACACAAAAGCAGACACTCACCCAACTGCTGCTAAGCAGTCAAACACTTCACCCGGAGGGTCGCCGGGGACTCCTTGTCTCCAAACACCTAGATCAGGGCCTCCAGGCAGTCCTGCGCGGTCCTGGTAGGGTTCTCCACCAGGAGCCCATGAATGAGCTGCAGGGCCGACCCTTGAAGGCCTTCTATCAGCCTCCTCCTCCTCTCCCTTTCTGAGACCCCTTGCCACACGTGCAGCATGTCAGCAGTGTGGTCTAGCCAAGCCTCAAAGGATTCCTCCCCCGGGGCTGGCTGGTCCTCCCGGAGAACACCCCCAGGCGCTGGTACCTCATGGTCTCCACCCAGGGCTGGACCGCCTGACTGACCGACTGGAGCCAGCACACCCTGCGCAGCCCCAGCCCCAGCCCCAGGGTTCCGGCCACACTCTCCACTGTCTGCCCCTGTTGCTCCAGGAAGTGGAACACACGACCAAGAAACTCCTCGCCTGAGCATCTGGGCACAAAGACCATGTTCCAGGGACCCCCGGTGCCTGGAATTTCCCTGGGAACCAAAGCATAGTTGACTTCCCGGTCAAGCTCCACCAGGGCGCAGTGGCATTGTCTTCCTCTCGAAACACTTTACCCAGGACGGAAAAGTGGCCCATGGGCCACAGGGCAGCCTCCAGACTCTCTTGGACTTCAGCTTCATCAGTCCTCTGGGATGCCCAGGATGAGCAGGCCCCTGCGAGCGCTGACGCCCATCCACCTGCACCAGTCCTGCAGCAGCATCACCGCCATCGCCCGCAATTTTCACCAGCGCAGGGGCTAATACTAGGGGCAGGAAACGGTTCCCGGCGCAGACCAGGGTGGCACTGGGTGAGAAATGAATTGGGGCCGGAGCCTAGGACTCAGAGAACTTCCCAGGTCTCCACCGCCTGTGAATACGAACGGGGCGAGAGCGAGGTTAATGCCCACCGCCCCTCCCACCCCTCAGCTGCCTCTCCTCCCCTGGTGGCACCTCTGCATCCCAGGTTCAAACCCCCACCTCCGAAGGCCCACAGGGGCCGCAGCCTCCTCCCCACACTGCTCCCAGCCCCGGTAGGTGCCCCAGTCCTGCTGCGGCGGGTGGAGGGCGGCAGGGTCTCTAGGGGCCAAGCTCACCTTCTCCCGCGGCGTGGTCCTGCCTGATCCAGGTCCCAGCAGCAGGGCAGAGGGCTAAGCACAGAGGCGGTGGGGTCAGATGCCCCTCTTTCTCTGGCTCTCTCCCGCTGCTCTCCCTCTTCCTTTCCTTGTCCCTCTCTCCGAGTGGCACGTGGGCCAGTGCGCCGGTGTCTGCTCGCCACCGCTCTCTGCAGTGGGAACTAGGAGCGGGGGCGCAGTGGTGGCGGAACGTGGACCCTCCGCGTCGCCCGGCCGACCGCCGGGCCATTGGAGCACGTGGGTCACTCGGCGGGGCTGTAGCACCCTGAGTTGATGTGCCCTGTCTGGGATCCAACCCTGGCCCCCGCCCCTCCCGGAAATTACCCTCAGGGTGCCAGCGTGGGGAGATGTCCACACCCTGGGATGCCCGCCAGAGAGTGGCTGGACAAGCCCAAGGTGCGCCCGCCAGCGCTGCGTTCAGGCCAGGGTTGGGGAGCCTCTGGGGCTTCTTCACCTGCTCTTCCCCTCCCCCTCCTTGTTCCCCACCCAGGACTGGTGCTGTCCCGAGGCTAGGCGAGGAGCACCTCCTTTAGAACTGCACCTGGTGGGATTCTGTGGAGTAGATGCCACACGTGCACATGCGCGCTCACACACACCACGCCCCTCGCTGCCCACACCTCACTTGGGGACTGAGGGCTGCAGGTCTCTGCCACTGAGGGTGCAGGATGGGCCAGAGTGATTAGCTGCCCTGGTGACAGGGGCCAACCCTGTGAAGATTGCCATAGCCTCTCTCATTTAGCTAACTGCAAGTCCCAAATTCAAGAACAGGCTTTTGCTACTTAAAACTCAACCCCTTGATCCTGTGTCTTACTGTGTATCCTTGGCAATTCCTTCCCCCTCCAGCCCTGCTTCAGTGAACAACATAATTGGGATCTCCCGAGTGTGTTTATGGGTAGCCGGTTTATTTTGATGGGGTGCCCAATGTGTCTCCTTTCCCCTGTGCCTTGGCCAGCCTAATGGGCTCTGGGACAGTGCTCTCTAGGCCCCTCATGGCAGCATGAGTGCTGTGCCTCTGCAGAAATCTCTGTCTGTTTGGCTCTGAGTCCTTCCCCTTTCCTTTGCCACCTAGGGCAGTGCTGCCTCAGCTTAAAACAGAGTGCCAGTCCCTGTGGGTCTCATCACTCTGCTCCTGTCCCATTATATGAGTCTGGGGCCAGGTGAATAGCCTGGTAGACAGATTTCCTCAGGGTCACACCTCCAGGTATTGTTGCCTGGATCTCTTCTTTTTCCTTGCTTGGCATCTGTTCAGAATCCTGTTCTGTGCCTTGCTTTCCCCACTCAAACTTTCCTGGTCGAAGTTTCTCTGAGTATCCAGCTTGCCTATGCTCCTTGTTAAATCACAGCCCCAGTTTATTTGTCTATGACCCTGTGTATGGGCATTCAGGCTGTTCCCAGTCTTTGGCTGTTTCAGACACTGTTGTCAGCAGCATCCTACACATACCTGTCTGAGCCACTGTCTGTACAACAGGCTCTGGAATGTACATCAAGAAATGGTTTTGCTGGGACTGGGGCTGAGCCCACTGCTTTTATAATTAGGCATCGCTAATCCATTATTTTCCATGGCCTGCTCAACCCATGTTCACTCCCACCAGCAGCATGGGAGCTGTCGTGTGTACCTCACAGTCTGAGCAGCCTTTGATCTTGTCCAGTTTTAACCATTTACCCATCCCATGGAGAGAGGCGCTACCTTGTTACCATGTGCCTTCCTTGTCCCTGGTCAGCAGTGAGGTTGGGCATCTTCTCACAACATGTTTTTGGCTATTCCCAGTTCTTTTGTGAATCTCCTTTCCTTGTCTTCCCCCATGGCTTAGGAACTGTTTCTAGGAGAAAATTCCAAGTTCAGAGGACTCATGCCTTTTACACTCACCCATCTCCCAGAAACAGACCATGTTGGAGTTAGTCTCATAGTTGGACCTTGGCTTGCCCATATGGTCTTATTCCCCCAGCTTTCCTACCTGTTGGATGGTAAATGAAGAAACACGAGCCCAGCCAGTGTGGCTCAATGGTTGAGCGTCGACCCATGTACCAAAAGGTCGCTGGTTCGATTCCTGGTCAGGGCACATGGCCAGATTGTGGGACGAATCCCCCAGTGGGGGGCATGCAGGAGGCAGCCAGTCGATGTTCTCTCTCATCAATGTTTCTATCTCTCTCTCCCTCTCACTTCCTCTCTCTCTAAAATAAACAATAAAGAAAAAAAAAATGCCCTGGCCGGTTTGGCTCAGCAGTTAGAGCATCGTCCCACGGACCAGAGAGGCCCAGGTTCAGTTCCCACTAAGGGCACGTACCTTGGTTGCAGTTTGTTCCCGGCCCTGGTTGGGGTTGTGTGGGTGGCAGCTACTCGATGTGTCTCTCTCATGTTGATATTTCTCTCTCTCTCTCTCTCTCTCTCTCTCTCTCTCTCTCTCTCTCTCTTCCTCCCTCTATCTCTCCTGCTCTATCTGAAAATAAATGCAAAAAATAAATAAATAAAAAGAAAGAAAGACGAGTGTTCTGTCTCAAACCATCTTTCCCAATTGGCCTTGTGCATAGACCCCCTCCCCTTTTCCCCACTGAGGGCCAAGACTGCCCATTGTATGGGGGAACTGTGGCTCTTAATACCCACCTGGCAAATTTCTGTTCACTGAACCTCAGTGTTAGTTCACCTGCTATGGCTTGCACCTCATGTTATCCTTCTGTCTTGATTTCCACCATGATTTGCTTGGGATCCTTCCATAGGGTGTTCCTTTGGGAATATTTGTGGGTCTTGTGTCACTGACTGTCAACTCAGTTCCATTATTTTCACCCTTACCTCTTTTACACCTGCTGACTCTCCAGCTCTGCCTCAGGGCACCCACTCCTCACTCTGCCAGGGCTGGGCTGTGATGCCTCTATTGCTTCTCCTTTGTCACCCCTAGGGCCTCATTTTGATCCATCTCTCAGCACAGTTGACCCTCCTTCCTTCTCAAAACCCTTTCCTTTCTCTGCTTCTGTGACACTCCACCTTCAGGCTGACCTCCTCCCTCTTTGCCTACTTGTCCTTGGAACTCCCATCAGCAGTGTGAGAGTGGTCCTGTGTGCCCCATAGCCTGAGCAGCCTCTGGTCTTGTCCAGCTTTGATTATTAGCTCATCTCAGTTCAGTGTGATGAAGGCGGACTCCCAGCCTCAGCCCTGGAATCCTCAAGGTCCTCTCATTGGAGGGTTTGTCTTGCTGTCCATGGCTCCAAATGTTCCTCTTCCCTGAGCTCCACATATGCTCATCAAACTGCCCACGTGGATGCCCCATGGGAATTTCAGAAGGAAGATGTCCAAACCAGAGCACTTCATCCCACTCAGCACACTCGTTTCTTCCCCAGGCTTCCCCAAGGGCTCCGCCTACCACCTGGTTGCTCAAGCAAAGATGCCAGGATTCTTTATTCTCTCTCCTTTGTCCCTGACCCCAGTCTAACCCATCATCAGATTTTATTGACACTAATCAGTGACTGCTCCCCTTCTCCATGTCTCCATGGTTCCTGAACCTGGCTCCTTTTCTCTCTGCCCCTGCTCTGGCCCTTCTCTCTACTCCACTTCAACCTCCATGGCAGCCGAGGCAAACTTTGCAACACTACCAGACCCCGCTTCTACCTGATGACAGGTCCTCCCTGTGGTTCCCTGTCTCTTTAGAGTAAATTCCAAAGTCCTCCCCTGTGGTCAAAAGCACCCCCTCCCCTGCCAGAGATGACCTTCTCTCTCCTTGCCACCCACCCCCAGTCCCTGTCACTGAAGTCCTGCTTCATTGGCCTACTCAGATGGCCCCGAAGCACACCCAGCTCATTCCCCAGCTCATTCCCACCTGTAGTCTTTGCCTTCCCTCTTCCTCTGTCTGGGACAATCCACTCCAAGAAATTCCTGTGGTGGCATCCTCTTCTTGTCCTCCTCTCCGTCATTCAAGTCTCAGCTGAAATGTCCTCTCTTCCCAGAGGCCTCCTTCGCCTGGCCAACCACATCAAATGTGGACCCTGGGATATTCTCCATTCATGTTCACTTCACATTAGCAGCATTGATTTATGTCATCACATGATAGATGTGAGTGTTTGGGTCTTTGTGTTTGGGCATCAAGGGCTCCCTCCCCAGATGACAAGCCCACCAAGAGTAAAAGCCTTGCCAGTGTTTCTCACTCTGGGATCCCCAGCACCTGGAACCAAGTCTGGCCCAGAGGAGGCTCTTGGTGCCTTCTTTTGAGCAAACACTTTAATCTGTCAGCCTACTCCCATCTGCCAGAGGCCTGGGACTTTTATCCCAAGGGCTGTGAGGAGCCCCAATGGATTTGACATGTTGTGTGGTGGACTGGGCAGCAGGGAGGCAATTCTGGAGCAGAGAGGGCCTTCTGCAGTAGTCCAGGCCAGAGGGTGATGGTCTGGGCCTCCTTGGGCAGAAAAGTTTAAGAGAAAAGGAAGATACAGGCTCCAGAGAGGGAGAAGGCACAGGGAGGGCTCAAGCAGGGTCCCAGATTTCTCACTTGAGTGCAGACCCAGAGGATGGAAAGGTCCTTCCCTGACATAGGGATTGCAGCAGCAGCTGTCTTTCCCTCGTCTTTGTGAGAGGAAGAGAGAAATGGGGTGACTGGTGGGGATGAGATCCT